AAGCATTTATTTATTTAATTAATTTTTATCATTTAATTCAAAATAGACTACTGAACAAACATTTTTAATTGAATTACATGTATATGTAATATACCACATAGTGCAGTAGAAGTGTCTTTGACTGATTGTAAGGTTCCGAGTTCGCTTCTTGTTCTGATAAAATCTAATTTGTGTACACTTTAAAAAAATACATAAATAAAGTAACCGTGATAAGTACACACTTAACAGTCATACAGCGTTTTATGACCGATTATTTGCATTCCTCGTTAAACAAACTGCTTTAATCAATGCAACAATATTATCACTCATATGTAAACAAAGGCACAGTGGATATGAATAATAACATATTCCACGAAAATTCTATGAATTAAGTACATTACAATATACCTGTTGTCGCCTTTCCAATTTGACTTTTACCAATATTTGGTAAATAAAGATTAAGTTAAGCTAATAGTGGTTTAAATTTGCTTATCTTCTTCTTTCTTTGGCCTTTTTACTTCACTTTCTTACCACATCTAAAAGAGTTTTTCTAAAAGGGTATATTCAAACATATAAGTCGAATTTAGTAGTTTTTTTAAATGTCGTAGTTGTAATTTAATAAACTTTGAGTTTCAGTTTATATATACGCGATTTTAATAAAAATAAAAAACAATGGAAATAAAGCTACAATATTTCAAGCGCACGCGGAACTTTATACTCGTATTATATTGTCAACGGAAGTCATATTAAAGAGAAACGACCTTTTGCAAAAAAATTGTAATTTTTGCAAATATCCTACACACATTGTCCATTTTTGGGCTAAATTGCTTTAACAAGGCCAAGGTTTATTTTATTATTTATTATAACTCCTAATTTATCTAACTCTGAAGGTTCTGTGTGTCAGATAAAAAGATGGAACCCTTATAAAGTCATTCGCGTATCTGTCAAGTCATATATGTTACGTATAGTTAGTTGTAGTTAGGTGACGTAATGATGAAGACGTACGAAACAAATTGATTTTTCTTTTAACGGACAAACTAGAAAACCAAAAACGTGATATATTTTTTTTAATCAATAATGTGGATCTTAGTTTCCTTAGATATTATTAAAAATAATAACAAGTTAATGATAATAGAAGTGGATATAACTTTAATTTCCCATATCGACAACACACTCGTATAACGCATAGATACTACCTCAGACTATTTTATGAGCGACTTAGAACAGACACGTCTCATCCATTCAGTCTGAATAGGTTCCACGATACTTGAATTATGGTAGTCTACCTTGGTCCGTGGAATGCATTTAAATGTAATTTTTTGCTTCTAAATCTCAACGCACTGTCGCTGTAGAGACAGAGTTTGTTTATCGTATGTTTACTTTTGGAATACATGAACAAGCTTATATTGCACTAGCATTGCCCGCGGCTCCGCCCGCGTTCAGATGACCAAAAACCAAATTCTTAGGTTTTACTATTAGTATACTCTTACATTGCAGTTTTTGTATTTTTTCTCAGAAATGAAACATTTTCCCGCGGTAAAAAGTATCCTATATGTTGATCCGGATAACCAGCTATCACCATATCAAATTTCATAAAAATCCCTCCAGTGGTTTTTCTGTGATGCGGTAGGTAACAAGGCAGACAGACAGACAAACATTCTAAAAACTACAGATTCGGCCTCTGTATCGATAATAATGTCTATTTCAATAAGATTTTCCAAAAAATATTTAATGTACAGATTCGACTTAGTTAGAATTTTATTATATGTAGGATAGATAATAAATAATTTTCTAATATATGAAAATCGATTTAATATCGATTTAATGAGTTAATACTCAAATAAATATTAGTAAATGTTATTTGCGAAAATGATAAAAAATATATTTGAGTAATCATCAGACTTAGGATAAAACATCTCTGGCGCCGTTGGTAATAAAAGTTCTTACGTAAATAATATTTGCACTGTATGTTTGCTTACGATCATATTTCTAAGGCGTGATCAGCTGACTAGCTCGTTGGACAACCGTGGAGTGTAAAAGGTAAATAATAAATATATTTAGTGCGGCAAATTAGCAGATTTCAAGGACTCGACAGTTTGTTTCTAAAAATGTTCTTACATATACATATTTTAAAATTATCTTTGTTTTAATTTCAAAGTACTCGTAATTATAAAATAAAAATTATTAATTTTTTTCTTTGAATCATGTCATAAAAAAGTCATAAATGTAAATAATAGGTAGGTATACTTCCTATTAAAGATTACTTCCGTAATTTTTCATAAAAATAAATCTAACATTCACGATATGTGTGAGCTTAATATGATATAACCACTACGTAATGTTATCCTTATAGCTGAATTTTACATGAAAATTTTTTCAAGGGTAATATTGAAGATGGTAATTTTATCTAAATACTGCAATGATAATTATTGTTATTTATTTGCATTTATATTTTAGTTCATAAGCAATAAGAATATAAAAACGAAGCTTGCCCGTTTTCGCCGGGCTGTTTTTTTTTAACTTTTAACACCCGAAAAGTATTGTTTCCTATACAAATATGACACTCTTCAATATTTTAAGATATGAATATCTAATAGTTAAATATGTATTTTACGTATCGAAATATATTAGATTTGCTTTGCATCGGCTGGCACCGACTTCGAAAATATCTGATTAGGTATCTATTCTAAATGAAAATCTCCGTTTAGTTATTTTTTACAATTTAGTGCCTGGAAGTCGGTTTTTATTTTATTTTTTTTTCAAGTTTTTATGTCATTATACGAATAGGCTGCCGAAACTACAGTCGCAGGTCTAGCTGTTTGGCGATAGCTATAATAGGCCATTTTAACTTGTATATACCCAAGTAAAGATCTTGCTAATATTGGTATACATCAGATATATAAATATTGTATTGGGCAATATCAAGGCATTTGACACTAATCTGTGTGCTGACTGACATAATCTTCTTTCTACATCACTTTCATTTTCAGATAAAATATTATGAACTTGATAAAATATAAATTTAACATGTAAAATTTGAGCACTTACATACATTATTTAAATTAAGATAGTGAATAGGTATACCTAAATGTAGAGCTAAAATGTTTTATAATTTGCATTCGCCTCGGTCCTTTTTTATATAGGGAAACCGCAGCATATTTGAAAAATACTGCAGTTAATTTGGATATATAAATTCATATAAATGCCATCTTGTCTATATCAAAGATTTTTGCGATAAACTTTCGAATAGGCAATACCTCTGATTGATTTGAAATTTGGTATACATATTATGGACAGCGCGTCGAAATCCATATGTATGTATACCAAAATTCAGATTAATTGGAGGTATAGGCTATTCGGAATTACACCCGATTTCTATATATATATATATATAGCCTTACTAGCACTACCCGCGGCTCCGCCCGCGTTTAGATGACCACAGAGAGACAAAAATTCTAAAAACTATAGATTCGGTCTCTGTATCGATAATAAAGTATATTTCAATAAGGTTTTCCAAAAAATATTTAATGTACAGATTCGGCTCAGTTACAATTTTATTATATGTGTAGATATAACAAAAAATAAAACAGACAGTAACTACTTGAACTAATTCTACGTAATTCATGTGTAACCTCAGTAAAACAGACTTATTCTTTATCAGCGTCCTCGTATACAAATAATAAACATCGTATACAAAAATACACTAGCGATACGCCCTATCTTTGCCTGGATTTAAAGTGATAATCTGTATATATTTATTTGTACTTGTTATTTTTATACGTGTATTGTATAGATTTATTGGAAATATTAACATTTAATTTAAATGTAATAATCGACCATTTAAAGGTTTTTGTAACATTTTATCAGAAAAAAAAATATATATTATGATTTTAACGAAATGAAAAAAGATTTTAATAGTAAATGAAGTGGGTTAATCGCATATTAGTAGCTTTTTCAGATTAATTTATACGTTATTTACAAACAGATCAACATATTTATATTAATTTCTAAACATTATATAGATAACATTTGAGCTCTACTCACCCATTTTCTGCTAGACAGTGCTAAATAAACACATTAGAAATTAATATAAACACGAATGACAAGGACTTGATAAGATAACCTAAGTTTTGTTATTGTCAAATATTACTTCATAAATGCTAATGTAATAGGAAAACGGATTTTGTACGTAATTTTATATATTAAGGTTTTATCAGTTTGTTTGTTCATCTTTAATTATTTAAATCTAAGTTATTATTTTAAGATACAAAAAAAACTGCAGGTTTCCTCACGATGTTTTTCTTCACCGTAAGGCAAATGGTAATCATGTTGGAAATAATTCGCACAGGAACATATCAGAGGTGTGAGACAAGGAATTTGAACCCGCACCACTTGGTTTCCTAAGCGACTACCTACTACTGGCTAAAAAAAAGTGATTGATTTTTTTAATAGTTTAATTAATCAAAATTCTTTTAACATTATTTAATAAAATAATGATGATAAACTTTACCTGTTTGCTTAAGATTATACAAATTAAAAACATTGAAGTTATTGGAATAAAACGGTCTCGAGTTAAGTAAATAAATGCTGCTTAATAAATAGACTCTTTAATCTATTCTTAAATATAAATGCGAAACTGTTTGTTGGTTTGCCCTACTTTAAAAGGATTTAGCTATTTTTTGCATAGAGATATTTTATGGACCAAAGTATCACGTAAACTGGAGGAATTTAAGACTACCTGAAACGTTGAAAAGTGTAAACATAAACGTATTGTTTAAGTAATTAAGTGCACACTTTTCGTACTACTATTTTAAATGCCTATACAGATTTGGATGAAATTTAGAGTAGCACATAGGTATTAACAATGCCAGTAGAACCTAGGGACACGTGAACGAAGCCCTTGTTTCTTTATAAATAGCTAGTTTTATGTATATTAAGGTATATGATTTATATTCCCGTTTTTAGCAAATAGAATACAATGAATAAAAAGTGTAATAAAATTTATTTCTTATTGTCCACAGTTATATACTGTGACTACAGTGGCTCAGGTCGAGCACTGCAATGGATAGAGGAGTACATAGCGCGCGACGTGCTCCCGACGCACGCGACGCGCTGCACCGCACTCTCCCTTACTTCTGGACAAAGCGAGATTTACCGGTAAGTTTCGGGGTGAATGTTGAATTTTAATGTAGTTTAACTAAGAAGTCAAAAAAAGTGCCATATTAAATTTTTCCATATAAAATTCCATAAATATCAAATGTATAATGTATGTATATTAAGGTGTATCATTTTAAGCTAAAGCACCTGACTATTCCAGAAGCAGGAAAACGTTTTTAATACTTAAAAACTGGCTTCGTTATCGATCACTTTTTAAATAATTTATCAAATACTTAAACAAAGCACAGCTAGATAATAATCTAAGCTAAAATAGTTTAGGTAACAACTACTTGGTCTGATGATGGAGCCTTAATCGCTATAGAAGTTTTAGCTGTAGAAAAAGAGTTTTATCGTTTATCTTTATATATATAATTCTTCTGTGAGTGTGTATGTCACTGAACTTCTCTCAAACGACTGGACCGATTTTGATGAAATTTTTTGTGTGTGTTCAAGGGGATCTGGGAATGGTTTAGATTCACAATTTGAATAATAATTTTCATAAAAAAAAATATTAAAAAAAGTTTGACATTTTCAAATTAAAGACGTGTAGACAGGACAACGTCTGTCGGGTCCGCTAGTTGATTATAAATTTTAATATCAGGTCAGAATCCAAGGAGATTATTCGCAACGTAGTGGGCGCTGGTCCTGATGATGTAGTGGTTCTTGGAGCCACTTTAAGCCGCTTCTTACGTGCGTTAAGACCGCAAAGAGTTGCTCTCTTTGTATCTTCAAGGGAAACTGAACGCCAACTCTTACCCTGGAAAGAATTAAATGCTGAGGTAAGGATAAAATATATGATATTTTGTGGTTTAATATATATATATATATATATATATATATATATATATATATATATATATATATATATATATATATATATATATATATATACATATATAATTAGTAAATTTACCATTTCTAACCAAGAGCGCAAGCACAAACAACACGGAAATTCTTTCGGAATTCGTTTAAACTCAATGGAGAGAATTAATGGATTCAATTCGACACAGCGAAATATAAACTGCGTACTTAGTACGAATAGATTTTTGCGCTCTAAAAATAAATGCTTGGATATATTTTAAGACTCATTTTTAAATAAGTATAAAATATAAATTATTTAATTATGTTTTTTATGAATTATCCTAAATTGTAAAAACCTTATCGCAGATAATATGATGTCGTTATTTTATTTTCCAATTGAGATATAATTGGAAATTAATTAAATTAATAAATGGACACAGGAAAGTAATTTTTATAAAAATATCAATCTCGTAAACTAATCGGACTACTATTATAGTTGCGAAACTTTGTGTATGTGTGTATGTTTGATACTCCTTCACGCCGAAACGGCTGGACGGATTTGAATGAAATTTAGGATACAGATAGACTTGAGTAACATAAAGGTTTGGCTTCTGGGGAAGTGCCCGACCGAAGCGAGAATAAATCGCTAGTTTGAAATATTGATTATAATTAACGATAAATTACATGCTTATTTTATTACCAAAAATACGTAAAATGTAGCCTACAAACATGTTAGAGGATTGAGGTTAGATAGATAGTCTATTTATTAATCAATTAGACATCTCACTTAAATATAAGAATAAAGTAAGATTTTAATATTAAAATGACATATGTGTTATGTCGATATTATATTTCAACGAAAAGCTCAAACAGATCTATCCCACGGGAACCGTTAATTTTTCCGGGATAAAAAGTAACCTGTTGTTTGACCGGCAATATAAGGTATCAGCATGCAAAATTTTACTAAATTAGGTGCATAAGTTTTTTGTATACTAAGCTGTATAAGTTACTATAGTTTTTTAACTATCCCACGAGGACTCTTTAATTATCCGGGATGAAAAGTATTTAAGATATTGACCGGGGATATAAGGTACTACCATACAAAATTTCATTTAAATCGGTCCAATAGTTTCGGAGATTAACCCGTTCAAACAGACAAACAGACAAAGACACGAAAAAATTGAAAAAAATCTGGATTTGTTCTATTTCTATTCTTACACCCCCCTGATTCGGATTTTAGCATTTTTTTCTATGTACAGACATACATTAGACCTCTACAATTTTATTATATGTATAGATTGATGCAACCCTAAACATAGATAGGCAATGTTTCCACGTGTATTGTAAAATGGCAGAAAAACTAAAAGAAACACGTTGGCTAAGTAAATTAAAACGCAATTTCTTATCAAATGCATATGGTAGGTCGCCTGATTACGTAACCGAAGGTTGCTGATATACCGCTCGGCAAATTCCTAGACTTATCATACTTTGAAACGAATTGACATTGCCTTACTTATGTTATTTAACTTGTTTTGAAGTTCATTTTGATCTTAAGCATATTGATTTTACTTGTTCATACTTCATTTAATATGTATACAGAGCGCTTAAACAAGACTAGCTACTCACCCTCACTTCGCTCTATATATATGATCTATGGTGGGGAATAGATAGGCTATATATTAGTATATATATACATAGGTATAATGAGTTTTATATCCCTTACTCGAGAAATAATTGTTTCCCCATACAAACTTTCATTCCCATTTTTACCATCTTAAGTGATGATTTCCGGGATAAAATTTGTTATATGTCCTTCCCAGGGTCTAAAAAAGCTTAAATAAAAAAAATATTTTAAACACTAGCAGACCCGCGGCCACGCGTTGCTGTGGCACACATGAAAATCTTTAATTTTGTAATATAAAAAGGAAATAATCGGTATAAATACTATCTTTTAAGTTGGAACAAATCCCACATTTAAAAAAAAATACGTTAAGATCGGATAAGTAGTTTCGGAGTTCATCACCGACCAACAAACATCGTGACACGGGAATTTTATATATTTATTAAGATTTTTTTAATGAGTTTTTATTTCTTTATATAATTTCATTTGTCATTTGAAACAAATCAGGACGTCCCTGACACAGCATGAGTTATTTCTTTATTGTTTATAAATTCCACACTTGTGAAGGCCATCTTTGTGACCAATTTTGGTCTTCGCGCTCTTTATTTTTATTTTATTACACTAACACAAAGAAAATTGAGGTAAAAATGTTTTTTAATTTTTAGTGATTTTGAAATATCAAATTGTTATTATTACAAAAATTCCGTCAATCATTACGTAACAAACTCAATAGCTTCCACTATTGTCGAAGTTCAGTGTATAAGATTTATGTACGAAACTTTCATATAGATATTATATTTAGACTGCGATTAATACATGGCTAATGTAAATGTTGGTCCTGAACGAGACTCGAATTCGTTACCCCCGGTATAGAAACTAACGAAGAATCAAGAGTTCAAGAATTTATAAAATATAAAAAGCTCTGTACAATATATACGTTGAGTAGGTATGAATTTTACGTTTTTTTTCTTTCGTTTTCCTTTAAGGAGTTACATAGGTATTGTGAGTGGAAAGAAAGAGTGAGGTAAATTGTTATATTAAAATTTTAAATTGAATTAAAACCATATGAAGTACTAGCGACTCACCCTCTCCGCTCTGGTTCGTCCCTATTTACATTTTAACGTTTAGTATAGATTTATCAGGGATGAGATATTTTCCCGCAGTAAAAAGTATCCTAAATGTTAACCCGGATACCCAGCTACCATCAATCATTATACCTTTCATCAAAATCCCTCAAGTGGTTTTTCCGAGATGCGGTCACAGACAGACAGACAGACAGACAAAAAATCTAAAATCTATAGATTCGGCCTCTGTATCGATAATAGTGTGTATTTCAATAAGATTTTCCAAAAAAATATTTAATGTACAGATTCGTCTTAATTACAATTTTATTATACGAGATAGATTTTTTGTTAAACCAAGCTTTTAGTAATGTAGTACATGTCGGTCTGAGTCGTCAACTAAAGATTATGCAATTGCTCAAGTCATATACGAGAAAAACTAGCGCCAAGTACATAATGTTAATGTGAATACTTAACCTATTTACGTTACTGCTGCAACCACTTAAGTTGTGCATTTAGAAATGTGTCAATGGTTTTCTTGTATCTATTACTTAGAGAAAGCGTTGAAATAAATGAACATTTAGTTACTTCTAGTGTTCGTGTAGTGGTAATCATTATTGAAAATATGAGGAAAATGTATTAAGTAGAATTTTCCTATATATATTTATATATATATATATATATATATATATATATATATAAAAGCTAAAAAGCTCGGCAATAAACAAAAAAGAAAATCCGTTAACAAAACAGAAGAGAAAAGGTACTGAACTGTTTTGTCTTTGCTCATTTATATATACTCGTAGATGATAAATATAAATATTAATTAATTCCAATTATTTAAACAAGTAACATTCAAAAGGGGAAATAATAAATAAAATAACTACGTATTATAACTAAGTATATATACATATGTACATTGTACATGTATCTGTCCCATATTATTAGTAATATTTGCTTAATCTAAGTACCTACCTACATACTAATTTTATTCCGTCAGGGGTTACCCTTATTTATTTATTTATTTTATTTACTAAAAACATCATTTTCGCATATAATATCATAAACAGTTTCTATGTTATAACTGCATTAGTTATACAACTGAGTCGCAGTTATCAACGCCCACTTCTCTAGCAACAGGCTACAATTGTATAATTAAGTGACAAAAATACAATTTATATATATATATATATATATATATATATATATATATATATAATAACCTTTCACGTGAATTTAATTTGCCGTGTAGTATTTTATTACTATTACCTAGAAAAAATGTCTAAATCGTAAGTAGTTCCAGGTCACCTTGATTTTTTTCTGAAAAGTAATTTAAGAATTATTGCATTAGTTACAATATGCTATGCTTATAAATTTACTTTACATATAAATATACCTAAAATATGAATATATAATTCTGTCAGTCTCTTATTGGTTTCAAATGGAACTCTTACTTTGAGTAGATAATCAATACTCTGAATAAAAAACAGCAGAGAAAACGGTATAAACGGTAACATAAAACATCTAAATATAATCCCATGTCAGTCTTCAGAGATTATCCGGAACAAACAGACAGACAGACAACAATAAAAAAAAGTGTTTTTCTTATAAGTAGCGTATATAATTTCATATGCATTTAGTAAAACGCTGTTATTTTGACATTACAAACATACACTTCAATTTTATTTATCTGTATAGATGAGATTTCAATTCAATCAGTCGAGTAGATAAAAGCTAAAGGCCTCGCTATTCACACTCTTTATAAAAGCGTAATTACGTGTTGGCGAACTAGAGTCAATCACGTGCGAGCAAAGCCGAATCTAGTCCCTAGTATTACAAATTAAAGCTCAAACTAAGCTCAAATCAAATTCATTATTTATTAAATCATTACTATTACATATTAGCAAGTACAACAAGGTACATATCTGTATCGAAGGTTGTTAACCTTCTAACGCAAATTCGGTGCGCATTCAATATCATATATTTTTAGACATCGGTAATCGTTTAAAATTCATAACAATTGCTTCTTGATTTTATATGCAATCATTCGTTAGCATTCGATTTAACTTATAAGGAGGATATCAATAACTTATAATATTATTACTATATAGAGACTAGCGACTCACCCTCGGCCTTGTAGCTCGGGTTTGCCCCTAGTTTACTTCCCCATACAAACTTTCATCCCCATGCTCACCTCCTTAAGGGATGATTTCCGGGATAAAAACTATTTCACTTACCCACTTTTCATATCTTGAGATTTAAAAATATCTTATTTTAGTAAAAAAAAAAAATTATTTCTATACAAAGCTTGTCCTAGCAATAATATGTATACACAAAAAAAAAAGAAATTATCCAATTTGGTGCAGTCGATCGGTAGTTATGCGCGTACATACATTTCGGTGATTCATTTTTATTTATATAGATTACTCCTTAATGATTATTCTGAGCATATCTCTTATTTATGATTAAATTGAATTTTATAATAACAATAAATAGTAAAATAGACACTGTAACTAGTAATTTTCGATTCTTTAATTTGTATATAAAATCTAGTACATATACATAATTACGATGTGATATCTTTACATAGTATAAAATGAAGTCGCTTCCGCTGTCTGCTCGCTTAGATCTGTTAAACTACTCAACGGATTTTAATGCAGTTTTTAGCAATAGATAGAGTGATTGAACAGGAAGGTTTATATGTATAATACATGCATATTATCTATATCTATATTTACTATAATAAAATAGTAGCAAAAAAATGCTAAAAACCGAGTCAGGGGGATGTAAGAAGACAAATAAAACAAATCTAGACTTTTTCAATTTTTTTGTTTCTCTGTCTGTTTGTCTGTTTGTACGGGTTAATCTCCGAATCTATTGAACTGATTTAAATGAAATTTTGCTTGGTGGTACCGTATATCCCCGGGCAACATCTTAGATACTTTTTATCCCGGTAAATTAAAGGGTTCCCGTGGGACAGTCAAAAAACTATAGTAATTTATACAGCTTAGTACACAACAACTTATGCACCTAATTTAGTAAAATTTAAAATTCTGATACCTTATATTGCGGGTCAAACAGCAGGTTACTTTTCATCCTGGAAAAATGAACGGTTCCCGTGGGAAGTAATAGATCTCTATTAGTGTTTTTCTGGAGGCAAACCCGAGCGAAGCGAGGGTGAGCCGCTAGTAGTAAATAAAATCCGAGAAATTCATAGATTTTTATTTCATACTAACCGTTAAAACCTACCTAGGGACGAACTCAAGCGATGCGAGGGTGAGTCGCTAGTGTCAAATATATTGAAGAACGACTGTTACTTATTACAAAAACTTTGTGCAAATACTCGTACGTACCTCAACGAAACAATACAACTTAATCGTCTCTCGAATAATAATTTCTTATCTTTGCAGATAATCAAAATCCCAGAAACCAAAGAGGGGTTCATTGATTTGAATAACTTGGAACTGAGATTGCAAGAGAACACTGGAACTGGCAAACGTATGATAGGTTTCTTTCCAGCGGCATCTAAATTAACAGGTATTTTGGCAGATGATGTAGCAACTACTTTGCTACTCCACCAGTATGGTGCATGGTCTTTTTGGGACTACACTCTAGTTGCTCCCACTTCAGCTATAGATATGAACCCTATTTTCCTTAGCATGGATGAGGCTATGGTTAAAAAGGATGCGATTTTCTTTAACTGCGAGAAGTTCGTCGGTGGCATTCAAGGCCCGTATGTGACAGTAGTGAAGAGAGATATTTTTAAAAACACATCTTTGTATACGGATGATGTTGAGGTAAGTTTAACTAATTTTGTTTTCTGATTAATATATATAAATAAATAATAAATAAATATGTTGGGACATTAAACACACAGCACCATCTAGTTCCATGGTAAGCTTGTGTTATGGATACCAGAAGTTGATATACTACACATATATAACATTAAAATATAAACCAGCGGGATTCGAACCCGCGACTGCTGGCACAGCAAATAGGTCACTACAAACTGAGCCAAACGTGTCGTCATATAAAATTAAGTGCAATATTAGTAAAAAAAAGGAGAATAATATAAAATAGAAACATTAAATAGCTTGTTTCTTTTATAACAACTTTATTAGAAATACGTCTGTATTAAGTCGTGGACAGAAGTTGCCTCGGCTAAGTGGAGAATTTTACGCTTAACGAACCGTGCGCTTGTACTGCGTGTTAGCGGATGAGTAACTGCGAGCTTTTGAATATACTTTTATCTCATTTATTATGTTATATTATATTATATTGTTTTTGTTATTTTAACTATTCAATTATAATTTTCTTTAACTTTTGAAGAAATACAGATAGTAGATACCTAATAAACCTAATATGTAGTTTTCCTTTATATTTTGATTTGATTTAAATTACAGTTAATAATATTAAATACCACAATTAATTTTCTTCTCATGTATTTAAAGTCAAACGCAAGTTAATATTTTGGGAAGGAAAAGATGGAATGTGAAAAGAGCTTACATTTTGTTTGTAACATACAAGTAAAATAAAAAAAATTAATGCCATTTTAATTTTGTCAATTCCTATTGCTTCTACAGGAATTTCTAATTATATTATTTTCATAAGCTTATAAAGTAATATATACATACATACATATATAAAGTAATACTGTAATACTGTTATAATTGTTAGGTACTGGCAGAAAGAATAGAGGAGTTTAAATGCGCGGAAGCAGTGCGAGCTGCGATCGTGATGCAGTTGCGAGATGCCGTTGGTCTTCAGAATATAGCTGAGAGACAAGACAATATTACTAGGTGAGATAACTTAAAAATAAATATTACAGCTTTATATAGATCAAGGTATTAAAAAGGCCAGACTAAAGTTTCTATAGTGCATATACATAATTGAATAAAAACAAATCATTATGGCGCTCTAAAATTTCAGAGTCTAAATAAGGCAAGTTGGGGTATTATTCTAAAATTTGCAGCATAAACAATAAAAACGTGGACACTATATACCTATGTAAAAACATCCACCTACACGCTCGTCTGTTGTCCTAATACAGCCAATACGATATTTTTTGCACACCTTTATCAGTCAATGACAATAAATGTTATATTAGCTATAAGACATTTATGTACGTATGAAATAAATATTATAAAGTGATAAAGTTTGTGAGTTTGTGAATTGTGAGTTTGTGATGTTGAAGGAAGTAATCTCTGGATCTACTGAACCGATTTTGATGAAATTTGGTAAAAAGATAGTTTGAGACCCTAGGAAAGAGATAGGATACTTTTTATCCCGGAAATCATCCCTTGAGAGGGTGAAAATGGGGATGAAAGTTTATATTGTGAAGCAAGCTAGGGACGAACCTGATCGAAGCGGTGAGTCGCTAGTATGAAATCAAAACAAAAGTCTTTATACTTTAGTGTCATCAAAATTTCTGATGTAATACTCACATTTTTGTAACTGTCCAAATAGCTAAATGACGTGAATTGTAAGAAAATTATACATTAAGTATATGGTGTATAAAAACGATTACAAAGTATATAAGTAAATATATATAATTTAGTAATTGAAATAAGCTGTTATATTTAAGCAATCATCCGAGATGAGTTGTTACGAAACAGTGTTCTTACGTGGGCGTCATCATAATCTACTGAAAGTTCGTTTACCTTTCTGAATCAAATATTGTTTATACTTAACATAACGGAGTACAATTGCAAAATTATATATCAGACATATTTGTATTTGAAATTATGTAGGAGGCAAGAATCTATTTAAATATTTACACAAGCTTAGAGCACTTATTTTTTGCCTGTGAAGTAGACATTCTTTGCTAGAGCTCTGTGTAACTTGCAAATTATTGATTTTAGTAAAACTTAAATTTAATCTTAAGTCATCTTTATGTAAATATATTATGATGAAATAAAATAATAAATAAATAAAATAAATATTTTAGGACATTAACACCCAACACCATTTAGTTCCATGGTGAGCTACGAGGCCTGCTTTATGGATACCAGATCATATACTCGCATAACTTAAAATACATACATATTATAAATATAAACACCCATGACTGGAGTACAAACATTCGTGCTCATCACACAAATGAATGCCCCCAGTGGGACTCGAACCCGCGACCGCTGGCACAGCAAGTAGGTAACTACAAACTGAGCCAAACGTGCCGTCAAATATTTCATTGCTTATAGCTTAAAGGACATAATAATTACTAAATTTCTTTGAAACCAAAAAAAGGAAATGCCATACTTTACTAACAAACTTAATATTTTCAATTTGTGGGCCAATTGTACACTCTGCAATATTTGCAGTATTTTACAGTATTAATGACTGTTTGTATGTAGGGAATAATTTCAATGCCTAAAAGCCAAATAACAAAGAGTTGAATTGAATTGAACATTTCCAATATTATTTTTAACCTGCCACACGAGTAGAGTCGCATGCAAATACTAGTGCCTTATAATTTTTGATTAGTTATACTGTAGATAAAAGATTAAAAATATATATTCATAATTGGACACGTGAATAAATAATGAAGTTTCTTCGTGACATCGTTTTCAATGTTACTGTCATAAGGATAATGCTGATATACTTTGGCACTGTCTTATTAAATTATAAAGCAGAGAAATATTCTATATTTAATCTAATGCTGCCATTTTCTAGGTCGTTTGTTTATTGTTCTTATATAATAAACATGTTCTGAAAGTAAACAGGTATAGCTGGAATGACTCACTCTGTTACCCTAAAGAGAAATAATGGCTTAGTACACGTAGACATCAGTTGTGCATTATATAAGATAATACTAGTTTTTGTCCACGTTTCTGCTCGTGTGGTATATTCATTATGTCTATTCCAATTTTTGCTGAAAACAATTGAACTGCTATCAGCTCAATAGCGAGAAAAAATAACACGTTTATAATTTAATTTATAATATTAGTGTTATGAAAAATTGCATTTTAATTAGATATAAATATAATATAAATAATATAAATAATTCAATATCAACGGTCCAAATTCCTTGGCAAAAAATACTGGATGCAAAAATATAAACGCGCCGTTTTTTGGCAACAAATCTTAAACAGCCATCTTGTAGCCATAGACAATAATTATTTTGTAAATAAAGATTATAGTTAATTTATAGGACAGCCTCGGTGGTGTAGTGGCTAGCATGTACGGCTGCACACTCGGAGGTCCTGGGTTCGAGTCCCGGGTCGGGCCAAGTTTAGTTATTAAACCCTTCTGTATAGTAAGTCTCAGTAACAGCCCGGAGTTGGGTTGGGGCGGTGTTTCACCCCGTGCCTCGAAGAGCACATAAAGCCGTCGGTCCTGCGCCTTAACTCTCACTGGTCGTGTTGAGCAGTAGTCCCACCGGAGTATGAGAGTAACAGGAATAGAGAGTGCACTTGTGTCTGCGCGTACACTTGTGCACTATAATATCTCCTGCGCAGTTGGCTAGTCTCAATGAGATTGGCCGCCGTAGCCGGAATCGGCTAGGAGAACATCATCATCATCATCAATTTATAGCATATTCACACGACATAAACGTTTTCTAAACGTCATAAAATATATTAATGTAAAAAAATTTTTAGTACACATTTTTTTGTTATACATGTGTTAGAACTATTAATTTTTCAACACCAGTTTGCAGATATTAAATTGGGTCTTAGATAGTAAAGTTAAAGAGACGACCAACTTCTATTCATCTATACATATAATAAAATTCTGAGTCAAATCTGTACATTAAATATTTTTCGAAAATCTTATTGCAATAATCATTATTATCGGTACAGAGGCCGAATCTATAGTTTTTAGATTTTTATCTGTCTGTTGGTCTATCGGTCTGTCTGTAACCGCATAACGAGAAAACCACTAGACAGATTTTGATGAAATTTGGTATGATGATAGCTGGTTATCCGGGTAAACATATAGGATGCTTTTTATTGCGGGAGAATATCTCATCTTTGAGAAATCTATACTTAACGTTAAAACATAAGCGAGAGTTTAAAATAACATAAAATTTACTCAATGTCATTATAAAAAAAGAAAGTGAAGCTTTAAGCAATAATAAATTAGCTTTTTACGTTGCTTTGTTCAGATAGTTATCTTCTTTTGTTTGTGCGCCAATCGTATTGTAATCAACCATGAAATCGCAAACGAATATCTTATTAAAATAATATCGCAATTCAAAGCGACAGCTGAGTAACTTTTTTTTATTTAGAGGTTTATTTATTTTGTATCCAACGTAACCTTTTCATAACTTACGAGATTTTACTTACGTTTTAACGTTTAGTATCGATTTCTCAAAGATGAGATATTTTCCCGCAGTAAAAAGTAACAGACAGACAGACAAATATTCTAAAAATTATAGATTCGGCCTCTGTGCCAATAAAAATGTCTATTTCAATAATATGTTCCAAAAAATATTTAATGTACAAATTCGGCTTAGTTACAATTTTATTATATGTATAGATTACAATGCTAAATAATAATATTTGAAATTATAATTATGTCAATGATAAGTCATTTTTTAAATTGTGCCCAACTGGCATGGCGTACAAAGAATTGAATTGAATTTATTTTATGACATTGCTTTGTCTATTTGCGCACGCAAATATTAATATTAATTGAGCCTTTACAACCTAGAATGAAGGTTACGATATAAAACCTTTACATTCTATTGAATACCTATATTAATATAAAAGCTAAAACTAAATAAATTAAAGAAGGTATCAAAAGCTAAACCTTCTTGAAGATGAAATATTGCCATATAGGCTATTTTTCCCACATATTAATTGTTAACTTGATCCCAAGATTTGTATGCAATAAACTGTCACGTATCGGTATGTGTGTCAAGTATAACAGTCATAAAATCTCTCCGTATAAATAAACTACTTACTAAATTATTTATTGGTTGTTTTATCTTTTAGCTGACCCCCAAACGAATATATTAGCATATTGGGATGTACGCCCACGTTGTATGACAGAACGGCGACAGCCAAACGCGTGATGTCATTAACATGTATTAAATACTAGTCATTAGTCCTATCTTTGGTTTAGAGAATTTTTTTTAATATCTTACATATCGTGAATGTCATTCTTTATTTTTGTACTCTGTAGATATTATATGGATAAATGCTAGCCGTATGGTAACATAGAGGATAGATATAGTTTATTTACCAATTATTTTTATTATAATTTAATTCTTTATTTTTATAATTAATTGTTTTATATTTTATCTGTTGATGGGCATTTATCATATACATATCAATAAACTTGAGTTTATTTAATCTATTAGTTATAAATGCGTGAAGTGTAAGTCAGGAGGAGGGGATCAATTTGGGTGGTTTTTGTGTAGGTATGTTATGTAAGAGATATTATCGAATTTTAAACTAACTTAGATTTTTTTTATTAAATAGCATAAGGGTAGCTAGATATTCACATTTCAAGAAGAAATCCCGCTCCTAAGAAAAGTACAGTTACTTTTAATGTGACTTTGAATTCGATGTACATTTTTCGAAAAAATGGTATCGGCCTTTTAAAACTACATATCTTGCAGCTGCTTACCTGGAATATTCTATAAAACCTATATAGCTGCTTACAACTGGCGCTGAGCCCTGGCTTTGTCACTATGATCTCATTAGATCTTTGAAATGAAGTGTTTTTGACGTAGCGTTATCTTAATAATTAACTGCCTCGGTGGTGTAGTGGCTAGCATGTACGGCTGCACACCCGGAGGTCCTGGGTTCGAGTCCCGGGTCGGGCCAAGTTTAGTTATCGAGTCTTTCTGTAT